ATCATCATGATTTTTACAGTGTTTAATTTTGCTCTAATGCCAAGTAAAATTATATGGATTTTTCCCCAAGTCTTGTGTTTCAGCAACTAAGGTTGGGTTCTCTTTTTTAAAGGTATTCCAGTATAATTCTACAGTAGGGCCTAGAAGTGTTTCTAGGAATTCGAACATCTCACCATCCATAGATCGATTGATCCATGTCCGGCAAGCATCTCTTTCCCATTGATCTATTATTTCTGCCCAAAGCTGTGGATTCCAACTTGGTAATTCTAGAATAGTCCCTTGCTGTTTTGCAGCAGGTAACTAGTTTGGGTCAATCTTCATTTTTTTTTACCAAATTGTATCCTTTCTCTGTTCTTTCCCCTATACTCAAGTGTTGCTTGAGGTATGGGATATCTTCCTCCTAACTGGTATGTTCTAGAACCAAAGACTCTAGATGTTCTGGGAGCACTAGAATTTTCTTCAATTTCGGATCTAGTTGGAGCGCTAGGGTTCCGGTTAGGATTTTGATTTAGATTTTCAGGGGTTACATTCATGAATATTTTTTCTTGTTGGGATTCATATTCATGAATAATTTGAAGTATGGGTTTTTGATTTTTGAAGTAAGCCTCAACTGGAAGTTCTAGATCTAGAATTTGATCCTCAATGTCTTCCCCATGGTATTTCAGTGTTAAGACTTCTTCAGCATTAACTTCTTTTCCTTTTGTAGAAAAGTAAGTTTCAATGAATTCCCATTCTTCATTATATTTGTCTTTGATTGGTCCCCATTTTTCAAAATGTTCTTCCCTTTTCCTTAAGGTTTGAAGCCAAGAAGGTTCACTTTCTTCATTTTCAATTTCTTTAGTGAAGTGTAGCATCTTGATTTCAACTGTTTCTTCATTTTCTTCTTGTTCAGGAAGAATATTTTCATAATCACTAAAGCTTAGACTCGTTTCTCCCTTATAATTTTGATATAAGGTATTTCGAGTGGGTACCATTATGGGCTTGCTGAGGAATTTGGTTATGTTCCATTCAGTTCCATTCAGATAAGTTGAATCTAAATGTTTAGCTTAAACAGCCTTAATTCCTTTTGTTCCAAATATTTCACATATTTCTTCATTGGTTACTCTATAATTGGTTGTGCCATTATGAGTTATTTGGCTAGTGAATCTTATGCAAAATAAAAGGTTTTTCTCTCCTCAGCCATAAAATAGCCTTTAGTCATGATTCCTATTTTTAAAAATTGTTTCAAGGCTTTTATATCCATTTGGAAATTGGGAGTAGAATAAGCAAATCCCCTTTGTTTAGATAGGTCTATTTCGATAGATCCTATAAGGGATTGAATCATATCCTGATGTCTTGTGTCTAAAAGAGTCAAAAGGCATTTTATACCTAGACCTTTTCTATGAAGTGTTTTAACTCCTATAGTGATTAACCCTATGTGTACCAATGAATATTTCATTCTTTCGAAACTAAAATATCCATTTTCACTTAACAGTCTTAGGGTAACACTATCACTATCTTTGACACAGGATATTTGAACTTCCTAATAATGCTGAAAGATTGATCCAGCACTAAACAGAGAATTGGCATTTTCATAAAGATACTTGGGTTTGACCAAGTCAAATTTATGAGTTGTGAATCTTTTTATTTGTTCTTCAAGGTCTATTAAAGTTTCAACTTTTATAGATTCTTGAATTTGTTTTCCTTTGGATAACATCCTAATCAGAGGGTTGCCTGTGATTTTAGATGATTCCATGATTTTTGGATTTTAAGGTAACACAACGTAATTTGTTGAGACTTTTAGTTCTTTAGCCTTTATGTGGGATAAAGACGAAAGGCTACATTTTATTTGTTTAAGATCCTCTTTTACGCTAATGATTCTTTCTAAATCTATTATTTCACTTGCTTCCTGAAGAAGATCTTGTTTCTTAGTCTCTTGACCTATTTCTGCAGTTCTTAAGTGAGTGTCTTTTAAAAGATCTTTTATATTCCCTATTTCACTTAAGATTTCTTCTTGGTTTTCAAGGATTTGTAGTAGCAAAATAATTTGGGTATTCTGCTGTCCTACTAATACCCGATCTTGGACTGCTAAGGGTTGAAAATTGGTTAATCCGTAGGGATTTCCTAATTTTCCTGCTTCTTTTAAAGCTTCTTTGTAGTTTGAATTTTGAGTGAAAGAAGTTTCACCCATTCAATCCAAGAATTAATTTTTGAGGTTTTTGGACTTGTTTAAACAACTCTTCTTGATTTTGGATCAAGGTAGCTGTTTAATGACAGAGGTTTTGAACAAATTGATCTGGTCCTTCGTTACTCAGAAATTGAGAATTAATTAAATGGACTTTGTTTTTGACAAATTCAATTTGTTGTTGCAAGTAGTCTTGATTCTCAATTAGTTTCACAATATTTTTGTTGTAATGCTTTTCAAAGTTTTGGAACCTTTTGAGCACTACTTTTTCTTTTTCTTTTTGTTTTTTATAATTTTCTGAAAAATTTATAATTAGGTCTACGATGCTATTTAACTGACTATTATCAGAATGTAAATTATGACTAAAACCTGGAAAACTACACACTATATTATGATTATCTAAAGTTGCTTTTGGTTTTTTATAAGGATGTGAAATAGCTAGGTCTAAATAATCTAAACTCATAAAGATAAAATAATAATATCAACAGATAATAATATCAACAATTTTTATTTTGATGAAAGATAACATAGATAGACAAAACAGATAAGTAGAGGATAGCAAGACAAAAGGAAGCCAAATATTAACAAAATGACAAAATAGTTAGCAAATGTTGACAAAATAGTAACCAATTTTGACCAAGCAATTTCTTACAAAGAAGATTAATTACGTAGATGGGAAAAGGTGGCAATTTACAAAATGTTGACTTTTAGCAAAATTATATGACTTTTAACACTAATAAGTAAAGGTAGTTTGACACAAGAAGAAAATAAACAAGAAGATTTCTACTGCAATCTTAATAAAACATATATGAAGGAAAACTATAAGACTGACACAATTTAATGCAGAGTTGATTTTTAACACCAAGCAGGTAGACTTACATAAAAGTTTTATGTAAAAAGTTAACAAATAATTTATAAGACAAACTAGACAATGAAGACAACTATATCTTTGGCAAAGATTTTTGTCTGTAGACTAGAATTTGTCCACTTTCCATACCATATACAAATATGTAAATGAAAAAGCTCTGATACCAGATCTAGTTGGAGCGCTAGGGTTCCGATTAGGATTTTGATTACTCAAAAGGTGTAATAGGTGTGAAGGAGAAACTATAGATGGGATTCCACTTGATAGGTATGACTGTCAATGTCAACTCGTCTATAGCATTTGCAAAGTTTCTCTAGATCTATCCTCCTATGAATCAATTCAGTTCAATTCCTTCAACAAATAGCCGAATATGGTATTAACCGATCTGGTATAGGCTTTACATGGGACACATATTATTCTACTACGGAAGGAAAACTTTATCTCCAGGGGTTTTTCCCTTGATTAGAACATAATAATTAAATTTATTATATTTAGATAGATCCTTTATATACATTCGGGCATAATTGAGTATACCCAAGAATTTTTGAAGTTTTTTAGTTTCCTCGATTTTGTTGGGAAAGTCAAGAATCTTCTTAACTATGTGATCCTGCAACTGAATTTTTCCTTGTCCAATCCTCATTCCTAAAAATTAAATGTACTCTTTGGAGAGTTCCATTTTCTTTTTAGAAATTATAAGGCCATTTTTCAGGAATTCAGTGAAAACAACCTATAGGTGTTTGATATGCTCAGTCTCAGTTTTGCTGAAGACGAGAATATCATCTATGTAAACTAAGACAAAATCAGAATATTTTTTGAATATCTGATCCATCTTTCTTTGGAAAATTGAAGGTGCATTTTTCAATCCAAACGGCATGACTTGTCATTCAAAATGTCCTTCGGGACAAGTGAAGGCGGTCCATGGAATGGATTCTTTTTCCATTTTGATCTGCCAGAAACCAGACTTACAATCAAACTTGCTAAAAATTTTTGAATTTTGAATGCAGTTGATTAGTTGGTCTTTATCTAGTATTCTATATGCATCTTCATAAGTGTTATCATTTAGCCTTTTATAATTTATAACCATCCTAACCTTTCCTCGTTTAATTTCTGCATGATTTCTTACCATGAATGCTATAGAGGAATGTCTAGAATTGGAATGCTTTAAGTTAAAAAGTTACCCTTTCTAACTCTACCATTGGAATCAGACTACAAAATAGTCGAAACTGATAGTAGTAGTGAAGGATGGGGAGCAATTCTGTTGGTCAAACCAAAGGAATTCTTATCTCAAAAAGAAGAATAGATTTGCAGATATTCTAGTGGATTGTACAGAGAAAGAGAAATGGCTAGCTTCTAACCTTGCACCTCAAAAGGGAGCAGGCTCTAGGATTTTGTTTATATATAAAATATTAAGAGAAAAATGTGTAGATATTCAAATCCAAAAATCTCTTAAAAAGAAAAAATTTTGTTTTTTTTAATTTTTTATTTGGGGGCCTTGTTTTTTCAAAGGATTGTTTTATTGGGGGGAAAAATTCCAAAAAATCCCAAAAATAATGTTTTTCTTGCAAAACCAAACCCAAAAAATTCATAAAAAAGAAAACATATTCTCTTAAGCCTAGTAAAACCTTCAAAAAAGGAAAACAGGTAAAAAGGAGAAATATGTGAAAAAACCCAAAAATCCAAAGAAAGACAGAAAATGCTATATATGTGGAGATCAAGGATGTTATGCAAACAAATGCCCAAACAAAAACAAACCAACTGAAAGATCTCACATATGGGCAAATCTTGCGGAAGAAGAAGACATCATCTCTATAAGTGGATACGAGTCTGAAAGTGATGTTTACAGTATCGTTTCAGAAGATTTGTTTATAGAAGACTTGTCTGAATCTCATTCAGAATCTGAAAAAGATATAGACTCTGAAGATCAAAATCTTTAGCAGTTTATAGATTCTCTTGATCAAAAATTAAACACTATAAAAATCATGATGATCAAGATTGATTTTGGTTGCAAACATTTATGGCAATCAAATCAACCCCCACAATGGGAAAAATGTTTAGATTGTCATAGGTACACCCAGCCTTCTACAAAGTTGAAATGCATAATATGCTCAAAAGTATATTGTATATTCTGTCACAAAAAATTAAAAGAAGAGGTTAAACAAGTACAGCCTTCAAAACCTGTAAATCAAATAAACATCCCTGCATCGAATGAAGAACAATTAATCAGAGATGTAGAAAAATTGTCTCTATTGCAAGAAATGAAATCAATGAATAAAACACTCAATGAAAAAGGATGAATACATCTTGCAATAAGAAGAACAAATAGAATTTCTCCACCATAGAACAAAGGAATTGGAGAACCAATTAGCAAAACTTCCACTCAAAGGAAAAGATGCTAATGAACCAACAGCAAATAAAGAAGAACAAATCTCTACTTTATCAGCTAATGTTCCAACAAACCCCAAAGATCCAAATACCCTACTCAGCATACTGTGTTCAATCACCTTAAAAAACGGAGAAACAAAAGAATTCTTAGGAATGATTGATACAGGAGCATCTAAATCTCACATCCTTGAAACAGAAATCCCGAGTTCTCAAGTCTCAACAATGAAAGCTGTTTATGAAACTCAAATGGATGAAACCCAACTCAAATATGATAAATGTCTAAAGGATGCAAAAATATCTTTCTGGGACTGGGGATTAAGAAATTTTGGAGAAAAGTACACCTTACCTCAAGTAATTGTACATAATATCCGAAATAATTATCCCTTCATAATTGGCTTAAACTTTATCACTCACTTCCAGGGCCAAATGACAATTTCTTCCGATGGAGTACAGTTTGCAAAACGAACCAATTACACCCCAACGGATAGATATGTCATGAATCTTCCAAACCCAGAAGAAATAGCACCCCAAAAATCCAAAATAAATTAAATAAACATTTTGAATATAATAGTAATTATTTAAGTAGTGATGAAAAGTTTTTTGATGATTTATTAGAATTTGATTATACACCAAATCCCTCAGAAGAGACGTTGGAAATATTTGAAGATTCTATAGATTATCAGTTTTTTGATAACTTAATTAATGAAGAAGAAGCGGTGCATGTAAATATATAAAAAACTCTTTCAAACTTTCAGAAAGAAGAAAACAAAAGAAAAAATAAAAATTACAAAAAGGTTCAAATATCCTGTGTCAAAGATAGTGATAGTGTTACCCTAAGACTGTTAAGTGAAAATGGATATTTTAGTCTCGAAAGAATGAAATATTCATTGGTACACATAGGGTTAATCACTATAGGAGTTAAAACACTTCATAGAAAGGGTCTAGGTACAAAATGCCTTTTGACTCTTTTAGACACAAGACATCAGGATATGATTCAATCCCTTATAGGATCTATCGAAATAGACCTATTTGAACAAGGGGGATTTGCTTATTTTACTGCCAATTTCCAAATGGATATAAAAGCCTTTAAACAATTTTTAAAAATAGGAATCATGACTAAAGG